AACTATAAGGCTACGTTCAGACTGCAGGGCTTAACGCTCAATTCCGTTTTTTTTGTGAAATCCGATGTTTTTGCGAGGTCATTCACATTTCCAATTAAATGTGACTTGTATGTGACTCCAGTGTGAACAGTAAACGGCCCAAAAGTGTCCCACATGTGCACTGGAGACACGACGACGTCAACCGCAGCGAGCGTCTCTGTGTTTACGGAAGTTGTCCAAACATGGACGCAGCATTGAGCACCTGGAGATTTTAAAGTTCCTCTCGTACCTGGAGCCAGAACATGAACAACTTACTTGTTTTAAGGAGGAGATTGAGAAGGAGAAGGACAAGGTTTTTGGTCGTGGTGTTTTGTGGGACAGCGGCAGCGACGTCCGTTGAAAGGAACGTGTGGATGTGGAGACGGAGCCAAGAGTGGTGAGTGGTGATGTGCTTCACTTCAGTGACACAGAGTTCATTAACAATTTTCGCCTACTTCAGTGCAGAATAGTGACGTTTGTGGCTTGTTGATAACGTGTAGGTGGATGAATGCACTTTGGCCGTTCACACTGAAGTCACATGTCAGAAGATCAGATATGTATCAGTTTCAGGAGCACATATCCAAGTGTCCTGGGTCACATTTGAAAAAATCTGATCTGTGTGGTTCAGACTGTCATTAAAAGATCAGATACAGGAACATAGGGGCCAAAAAATCGGATTTGAGTCTCTTCAGGCTGCAGTGTGAACACAGACTAGGTCGCACTTTTTAGGGGGAAATGTATTTTATAAAATCAGAGACCAGGAACCGACATTTCATAACAAATCGATTTCAGTATCGGAACTAAAAAACCTGAACGGTGCATCACTAACTGCAGTGCCAGGAATGTTCCACACTATGTCATTGTTGCATTTATTGGATTACAGGTGGATCATTTGATAATTAAAGACAAGAACTGATCGTGGAACTTTCTCGGCCAAGCAATAACTCCATAACTCCACTAGAATGTTACATACTGCACCTTTAAACTCTGGCTGTACGGTTGTGTCCCACATGTACAGCACAAGTACAGAGTGACCAGATGTCTCGACTGACTCGGGACAGCCCCAGTTTTGAGTCTGTGCCCCATGTCCCAGTAATTTGTCTCAGTTTTATACAAGAAATGTCCCAGATGTAGATATTTTTGACCAATCTGATATCTGGCAACAGTAAAGAGAGGAATATATTGTCATTTGTTTAGTGAAAATACAGTAAACCTGCTTGAAAATGACTGTAAGACCGATTATGACTGACACAAGTGAGTGGAAAATGGACAATGTTACGCTCTCTTTTAATTGTTGTATTTAAAACAACCATCCGAACTTGGTTGTGTTACCAGTAAAGTATCTACTAAGTCCCACCGCAAGCACCTAGTGAGTCATGGACCGTATTTTAAAGGTTCTATTTTGAGTAAAATGAACTCTTGTGAGCTTTAAGTCATGTTATAATACTGTCACCATGTTATAATGCTGTCACACCAGGCTATAAGTCGCACTTTTTGGAGGAAATTTATTTTATAAAATCAGAGACCAAGAACTGACATTTCCTGATGAAAGTCAAGTTGTAGTAACAACAACAGAAGAGAGAACAACAGACTGTTAACATCACATATGAACAGTTCTTCAGATAAACTATAACATAAACATCAGAACAGAACAAGTTTAACCAAACTCTCCATCTCACTCCAAATCACTAAATCCATTCAATTCTTCATCCTCGGTGTCACTTCTGAACAACTCGGCCTCGACGTCTGGAGTTAAACATAGCACCGCGTCCACAGGTCTCCATGAAGAACAGCTCAGGTCAATTAAACACAATCAATCAATGAACCTGCCCAGGGACGACAGGTGCTACAACCTGATACAAACATCTCTCCTATTAAGGTTCATGTAAATTATGCACTGTCCCTGTCTCACTAAATAAATAAATAAAATAAATAAATTCAGCATCAGTTCAAGTTACAATTATTGGGGTCTTTCTGAATCCCGACAGGATGGTTTCGGTGTCACTGAAGTCCAGACTTTGTCCATCCATCCAGTGACTTCAGGAAAGTTTCATGGTGCATCCTCCCGGTGTCACAAGTTTCTCTCTCACTCCAAACTTTCTTTCTGCTGCTCGATTATCTTTTTCAGCTGCAGATTTCATCGTCTTTATCGTCTTTATCGACTGACATGATACAGACAGGACAGTCTCTTTCTGCAGGAGACATGTGCAGTAGAGTGAAGTGACACTGGTACAGGAGGAACAGGAGCAGCAGATACTCACACACAAGACTAGAGCCTCTCAGCACTTCAGTGTGAAAATGTTAATATATAAGTCGCACTGGAGTATAAGGCTACGTTCAGACTGCAGTTCCAATTCCGATTTTTTTGTGAAATCCGATGTTTTTGCGAGGTCGTTCACATTTACAATTAAATGCGACTTGTCTGTGACTCCAGTGTGAACGGTAAACAGCCTGAAACTGGAGACACGATGACGTCAACCCCATGCGTCAACCGCAGTGAGCGTGCTCTGTGTTTACGGAAGTTGTCCAAACATGGACGCAGCATCGAGCACCTGGCGATTTTACAGTTCCGGTTTCCGCCTGCTTCAGCGCAGAATAGTTACGTTTGTTGCTTGTTAATGACGTGTAGGTCGGATGAATGCACTTTGGCCCTTCAGACTGAAGTCGCATGTCAAAAGATCAGATATGTATCGGTTTCAGGACCACATATCCAAGTGGCCTGGGTCACATTTGAAAAAAATCAGATCTGTGTGGTTCAGACTGACATTAAAAGATCAGATACAGGAACATAGAGCCGAAGTCGCAAGAAACACCCAAACCATGAAAAAAAGTGTGACTTTTAGACCGAAAAATGCGGTAAGTCATTTTCAAACTGTAACAGCAGGAAGTTGGCAGATTATTTAAAATGTGATTATTTACACTCTAGACTCCACAGACTCTTTGGCTAATCGCTGCTATTCTGTTGGGACATACTGACTGTAAACTGAGCATTTGTTGTGTCTTGAGTAATTCCCAGTTCAAAGCTGAAGCCAAAATAACTAAATATTAGATTAGGGGACTTGTTAATAAAGTAAAAAAAAACACTTTAGGCAGAATTCTTAAATTTTTTTCAGTTTGTTTTATTTGTGGGTTTGGGATATTAGGAGCTTGTTAGTTTCCCTTCATTAAGTGGTTGACCTAAGTGAAGAAAGGAGGTAACGGGGTAGAATCCATGTAGCATTTATTCATTCGTTTTTCAAAATAAAACCAAAAATAAGAAAAGGAAAAAAAAACAACAAAAAAACACTTTTCTTCATTATTTATCTTCAAAACCAAAAATGAAGACATGGATAACAATTTGTTTTTTCTGTTTTCAATTTTGTGTTTAAATGAATAATGGAAAAAAACGTCCATTTCCTTGACTTAAACTGTGATGCTAGACTTTTGCGCTGCATTGGGACTGAAATATGACTACACCAGGTCTAACTTTGGACTAATCTTGAACTTGAAGGCGAGAGAACCCCGAGCCCGTGGAGCAGGGTGTCCGCAAAATGCAACCGGGCGACAGCTGTACTGAGCTCCGGTCCTTTCTCCTGCAATCACCTGACAGTCTACACCTCCAGCTCGTCCCGACACTCAGTCCTGGTTCAGTCCTGGTTCAGTCCTGGTTCAGGTCTGGTTCAGGTCTGGTTCAGGTCTGGTTTCATCCTGGTTCAGTCCATATGCAGCACCAAAGTCCAGCATCTCGATCAGTGTTTCTTCTGCTCAGTAAATATTGCCTGTGAGGTGATGTTGTATTTTTGACAGTCGAGTCGTGTCTGTGAATTCGTATTCGTACTGAAGAATAATAATGCATCAGTTTTATATGGCTTTTATATTTATTCATTCACTCGGTGGTGGTAAACTACTACTGTAGCCACAGCTGCCCTGGGTCAGACTGATGAAGCAAGGCTGCCAATCTGCACCATCTGCCCCTCCAACCACCACCATCACTCACACACACACACCACTTTCATACTAGGCAATGAGGGTGCTTAGGCAAAGTGCCTTGCCTAAGGACACAACAACAGTTTTTACAACTGGCGCCTCACTGTGGCTCCTGATTTGTCTCCCATCCAAATACTAACGATGAGGCTTTGAGAAGCCAGTATGGACACGAAAGTGTAATCGTACATTTTCACTTCTTGATTGTAATTCTTGATGTTGTCAATTCATATTCTGATGGTTACAATACATTTTATGAATGACTGGGCTCGAGAGTTTACGAATATTTATTTCATGTTCAACTACAGCCAAATATGAACTTCTGTCCTATGCACATATAAATACTTTTGGGGGAATAGTGTTATTTTGTTAACACGATCGCCTAAAATGTTAGAAAAGTGCAGTTTAAGTCACGGAAACGGGAAACAGCTGTTATCTGTTTTTCCTTTATTCATTTAAACACAAAATTGAAAACTGAAAGAACTAATCATTATCGTTTTTCTTTTTTTCATTTTGGTTTTGGAGACAAATAATGAAGAAAATAATGAAAAAAATTCGTAAATATTTTTTGTTTTCTTATTTTTGGTTTTATTTTGAAAGACGCATGAACGAATGATGCACCGATTGGTAGTCCTTTACTCGATTAATCGGTTGACTCTTCATTTTATTTCGATTATAAGGACAACAACAGTGACGAGGAGGAATGAGTGAGTTTGTATTTTTGGGGTCAAACTCATGATTCACAAGTTTAATCTGCCTTCATATAAATACATTCTTCTAGTTTTTACATGAGCTCCCCCTGCAGGTGTAGTTTTGTGAGTGCAGTTTTTTTTTTTTTTTTGTCAATGAATCAACTGGCAGCGCGTCTCTTTAGTCGATCACATGTCTTTAATCGACCAAGAATTTCTTTAGTCGACTACAGCCCTAGAAAAGACCACAGAATACATTTTAAAAGTTGCAAAAGGTCATAAACTTCTTATTAATTAATGATTTAATGACGTTTTTCTCTCTCATTTCAGGAAAGTGGTTCAACTACGGCATCATCTTCCTGGTCCTGATCTTGGACTTAAACATGTGGAAGAACCAGATCTTCTACAAGCCTTATGAGTACGGCCAGTACGTGGGTCCAGGCGAAAAGATCTACACCGTGGAAGAACCGGAGACCCTCGCCAACTTCAACCACTCCACCCTCACCTACGAGTGGCGCTACACCAACGTGGACCCGCGCACCAACCTCACCTACGTAACCCGGGACATGTTCCTGCACAGCCGCTACGTGGGGGCCAGCCTAGATGTCAAATGTTTAGCCTTCATCCCGAGTTTAGCTGCTTTTGTGCTGTTCGGATTCTTCATCTGGTTGTTGGGGAGATTCCAGGACAGCGAAACGTTCACAGAAAACCCAGATAAAACATACGAAAGGATAAAGAGGAAATCCCCGTCGGAGTACAGCTCTAAAGACATGGGGACGACGCCGGAGGAGCTGCACGCCGCAATGACGGACAGTTTAAAAAAGTCTGGAACACCGATGTTGCTGTCCGTAGACGGGCCTCATTTTGGGGCGACTCCTTCGACCAATTCGACGATCTCCATGGAAACGCAGGAGACACATCCGAGCATCGTGATTGACAGTGTGGAGCAGGACGAGCCGGCCGTGTTTTTTGACGTACACAAACTCTCCCCATAAAAAAAAAGAATGCAAACATGCTGAATACTTTCAATGCACTGTTACAAAGGAATAACAGCTCACGAGTTCAAATGATTTGAATTCAGATTCAGATTCTGTTGTTTAATAGGGACTTTAGAAACACATAATTAGAATACGTTTGATCATAGATTTTTCAGCTTTTTAAACTTCAGACGTTTGATGGGGGCTAATAAACTATGTAGCAATGCATGACCAAAAAAATTTATTTTTTTTATCCTCACATTATGTTCCGTTTGATTCTTTGCAGTGACATCACGCTGGGTGTGTTCTACCTGTATCTCTAATGCTGGAAGGTTTAGGAGTTACCAGAGGTGGGACTTACAAGTCGTGACTTGGACTCGAGTCAGACTTGAGTCACTCTTTTTAGGACTTGAGACTTGACTTGATAAAATAGACTTGGGACTTGACTTGGACTTGAAGGTAAGTGACTTAAGAATACTGGTGCTCCTACTAAAAAGATATGTTTTTAGAAAATACTTTTCTCTTTATAGGTTATACATGCAGTACTTGTCCCCCTACTTCTGTTTGGTACTTTGGATGTAACTGAAGTACTGTGATATTGTATCCTCAAATGTACTACAGTAATATACAGTACAATACAGTAAAACAGAGGGAACTACTGTACATACAGTAGAACATGATCCTTCCATTTCAGACACATGAGAAAATAACTGTCATTTAGCTCTGAAAATCTGAATTCTCTTTATTCTGACTGTAATGATTCACACTAAGATATTGACAAGACATTTAAAATGTCTTCAAAAAAGGAAAAAAAGGACATTTCTACAACCGTTATATAAATACCATGAATATACTATGACTTTTAAAGTACAGTTTAGTTAAAAATTCATATAAATTGCAAAAAAAACACTATATTTCGTTTAGAGACCTGAAATGACTTGAAGCTCAAAGCAGACGACTTGCACATGACCTGGACTTATGGGCCAGTGACTCGAGACTCGACTTGTCTTTATGTGACTTGGGACTTGACTCAGACTTGAGGTCAAAGACTTGAGACTTACTTGAGACTCACAAAACAACGACATGGTCCCACCTCTGGGAGTTACCATGGTGACACAGTGCACACATTAACAAACATAGTCACAGATGTTTTAAGATGGTCTGAAAACTCAAGAATAAGATTTCAAAACACATTTGGATCAGTATGTTGATGGTTCCGTTTAGGTGTTTGCTTATGAGTAACTGGAAACTGTTGGCTAATGTTAATGAACTTGTGACTGTAATTTTATGTGTGAGAGATTTTTAACAACAAAAATCAGTTCTTACTGGTGAGACTGTGTTAAAATAAAGCACAGATTTAAGTCTAACAAAGTCTCAGACAGAGCAGAGCCTACAGTTAGCATCACATCCCCGAGGTATGCTGATGACATCACCTGCAAAGTATCAATTCACTATTGCCTCCATTTTGGAAAATATAATGTTTACAATTTGTCTACAAAAAAGTAATGAGAAAAATACATATTCTTATTTTATTCTTATTTATTTATAATGTTATTATTCTTATTTAACTTAATCTGCCTCAAAATGCTGCAAAATTAAGAACATGTATATTAAGCAAGTGAAATAATCATTTAAGTAAGTTTATAATCTACTAATCAGAAGAGACTTGTGTTCAGAATTGAATCATTTGAACTTTTGTGTGGTTCAGGACAGTGTGGACGTGTGTGGACCTACACGAGGATGTTAGGACATGATATTTCTCTATTTTTATAAACCTTTTTAAATGTTCCAAAGTGGTACCAAGTCCAGCCCCTCTGCTCTGTTGAATGCAAACTCCAGTCTCTATCAGTCGACACGGTGCTGCTGCCATTTTCACGTTCAGAGCTCAAAGCTCAAAGCTGTGGATTCTGACGAGACTTTGGTGCCTCTTCTCACGTTGTATTTCTGTCTGTAACCAGAGTTATAGCTACAGTAGTGCCTTGATAATTCACAAGAGTAAACCTTATCAGTCTGTACAGGGTGAGTCCAGGACGTAACGACAATAAGAGAACAAAAATAGTTTGTCAGATTATGAGTCAGGTCTGTCGAGAGGCAAGCCCACTCACAGTAAATATGCATGTTTTTCACTTTTTCTATTATAATCCACTAATCACTATAGTCTCATGTATTATTGGAAAATACAAATAATATTACATATGTATTAGTTGTTAAAAATGTATACCAAAATACTTATCATCAGTATGAGTTGTATTCAATTATTTGGGCAGGTATCAATACACAAATACATAAACAGCATTTGAACCAATAAAAACATCCAAAATGAATGAAATAAACATTAGTATTGAGACACACATGCCAAGATACTATTCTAGAGTAGAGTAGAGTCTTGAAAGAAAGTCAGAAAGAAATGCATGAACAGAACTACCATATTTTTCAGACTATAAGTGGCTCTGGACTATAAGTCGCATCAGCCAAAAAATGCATAATGAAGAAGAAAAAAACATATATAAGTTGCACTTTTTGGGGGAAATTTATTTTATAAAATCAGAGACGAGGAACCGACATTTCCTGTTGAAAGTCAAGTTGTAGTAAAAACAGTAGAAGAGAGAACAACAGACTGTTAACGTCACATATGAACAGTTCTTCAGATAAACTATAATGTAAACAACAGAACAGAACAAGTTTACCAAACTCTCCATCTCACTCCAAATCACTAAATCCATTCAATTCTTCATCCTCGGTGTCACTTCTGAACAACTCAGTAAACAGAGCGTCGCTTCCTCTTCTGTGTCGCTGTCGTCAGACTCAGCATCAGTTCCAGTTAGAATTATTGGGGTCTTTCTGAATCCCGACAGGATGGTTTCGGTGTCACTGAAGTCCAGACTTTGTCCATCCATCCAGTGACTTCAGGAAAGTTTCATGGTGCATCCTCCTCACTCCAAACTTTCTTTCTGCTGCTCGATTATCGTTTTCAGCTGCAGATTTCACGACTTGCAGTTTGTAATCTGCCAAATCTGATTTAGTTTTTGGGGGCATTTGTGTTCAGTCTTCTCAGTCGTCTTTATAAGTTTGTTTAAATGTTAAATTGTTCAGTGGTACAGAAGTAATGGTGCGATCGACTGACATGATACAGACAGAACAGAGGCTCTTTCTGCAGGAGACATGTGCAGTAGAGTGAAGTGACAGTGGTACAGGAGGAACAGGAGCAGCAGATACTGATACACAAGACTAGAGCCTCTCAGCGCTTCAGTGTGAACATTTGAATATATAAGTCACACTGCACTGGAGTTATAAGTCACAGGAAACACACAAACCATGAAAAAAGTGCGACTTATAGTCTGAAAAATATGGTATTGTGAAACCTTAAAAACCCCTGGAATTAAATAAATCCAACATTTTTGTGGGTCAATGCAGTCGAACCAAAATGTTGATTCCATGATAATATTTGATACTAAGAGAAGTTTGAAACATTTGAACAGGAACCAATACAGAACACTTTTTAAATTTTTTTTTAAATGGACCTTTCCTGGAAAAGTTTTAGAAAATTCTGACAAATAGGCGAGTTTCATTGTTGACAAAAGCACGTGTTGCATGCTGGGAATTATTTTAGTCAGCGGCAATAAACACGGACGGAGTGAGAAAGCATGTAAAGGGTATTGATCCTGGTTATTTATCCACTCTAACGGCAGAGGACCCAAGACCATTTGACCAGAAATTGGTCATAAGCATCGATGGAGCCAAATCACCCTTTTCAACCCCGACAGAGCCTGGACCAAACCAAATTTCTGGTCAGAATCGGCAACTACCTGGTCAAATATTCACTTGGGCGATATCCACAATGACTTGGTGGAAACTCCTGGGCCATTCACAGCAGAAAAGATGAAAACCTCCAAGAGTCTGGATGTGTTGTTGAACTTGTTGGAGTCCACGGTTTGTTAGGATCTTCTACGTTTGCTCTGCGAATGTTTGAAAGCCGTTTAATTCACCGTTAGCGGTTCTTTTCACTCAGAATACGAAAAAGACATTTTCCTTCTTCCGTGTTTCTATTTGTGCATCCGATAATGCAGCAGGAATTTACCATTATCGGGGAGAAATACATGAGGTTACGCACTGTGTTTGACCGATATCCTGTTTCTTGCCTCCGACCAAAATATTTCCCAGCATGCAACGCGGGCTTTTATTAACAATGATTATATTGGAACTAGAGTAAGAACCTAAGGTCAGTTTTTATAATCATCGTGGTTTCATACTGGTATTGAAAATCAGTCACAGGTCAGAGCTTCTCTTTCGAACACCTCAAATTGAAGACTTTAGTTTAATGACAACTCTGTGTCAGACGTGTACTTCCTGGACTCAGCTCGTATAGGCAGCGAACTGAAGATGTCCTATTTCTATCCCGCTTTCCTTGTATCCTTTATGTAAGTCATGTGTGATGCTCTTGGTGTTATGGCTCATTACGCACTCACACTAATTGGTCCTTGTGAGTTTTGCTCTTCTCCACGTAACGATTATGAACCCCCATGTACACTAACGACCTATTCACCTCCTCCTCTTCAGATTACACCACACATCATCAATGTAATCAGATGATGGGAGCGCTGCAGATGTTCTGATGAGGAGGCCTGTACCTGGTCTGTGGTCTGCACACACACACAAACACACACAACACAAACACACACACACACACACACAAACACACACACAAACACACACTAAACCTCCAGAGCAACACCTGCCTCTTCAGCTCAGAAAACACCACAATCCAAGTAGCATTCGTTCATTCGTTTTTCAATATAAAACCAAAAATAAGAAAAGGAAAAAACAACTCTTCATTATTTGTCTCCAAAACCAAAATGAAACAAACAGATAATGATTCATTTTTTCAGTTTTAAATTTTGTGTTTAAATGAAGAATGGAAAAAACGGACTGCAATGTCGGACTTTTGTGCCGCATAAGGACTGAACCAAGACTGATCCAGGTCCGAGACCAGACCGGGACTGAGACCAAGACCAGACCGG